TTATCCTCAACCAAAGTCTCTCAAGAAGTTCTCCAGCATGCCCAAGGCTGTCCAAATACCAAACTATTTAAGACTTGTCATTTTTCCTTAGGCTGCTTTACTGAAAATTAAGAAAACTTCTACCTGGCACAGACAGGAGATAGATCACTACAATCCTGAGGGGAACTCTAACTGGGCTGGAAACCACATCCTCCACATTCCCCTTTCAGAAAGTTATTTAAAACTTTCCATATGGCCTCTTTTGAATTTTTTTATAGACCTTTTATTTTTGCCATTGCTGTACAGAGCAGCAACTGAAAGTGCTTTAGTGTTAAAGAATACAAAATAACCACTTTTGGAACTGTACAGCTGCCAGTTTGTGAAAAGGTTTGCCTTTAGTCCTGAACAGTTTAGCCAGTGCCTTTTGTCCCCTTTGTTGACTGTTCCACATTCTGCACTTGGGTGTTTGATTTCTGCACTTGGGTGTTTGATTTCTTCAATGCACAATTCCATGCACACTTTTCATTTCATTACCCTGAACTCAAAACATCTCCCTGTACTGTTCTACCAGCCCAAAGTTGAGAATGTCATACTTTATTTATTGTCTTGTAGGAGTGAGAAGCCAACAATAGACCCAAAAGTTATCCCTCTCACTTCCCACACACAGGAGGAGCCCATATCCTGTTCCTCTGCCCCCACAGCATTTTCCTGTCTAAAGACACCACACCATCAATTCAGGTGGAGGCTGCAGCCTGCAAACAGTTTCTTTGCTGTAGGCACTGATTAAACTCAAAACTTTTCCTGCAGCTCTGTCAGAGGCAGGCTGGGGTGATGTTTCCTGTAAGCAGGGCAGCCTCTTTCCCAGCTAACCAAGCCACTGAAAATTACCATGGAAATTCTAAAACCTCAGAGAAAATCTGGATCCAAGTCCAGATATCTGAGAAAAATACTTTTTGATCTTCCTTTTGAACTGAAGCTCAAGAGGCTGATCACACATGGCACAGGCAAAGCAGCCCAGCATGCCTGGACCAGGGACACTGCTGCAGCTCTCCCCTTGTTGATACAAGCATTGCTCTATGAATTTCTGCCAAAAATAGACACCCCTCTACCCAGAGACAGCTTTACTACCATTTTTCTTGTGCACAAACTCTACAGCATTTCTACTTCCCCTCCCTGAACTCTGAGTGCAAAAGCTGAGTGAATACCTGTCGGAATCTTTTCTTTATCTCCTCATCTGTGGCTTCAGGATCCATCTGCAGCACCTAAAAGAGACCATGAAAGCAGAGCAAGTTTGATGCTGCTCTCCATGTTTCAGGTTCCTGTCAGCAAGCTCTAACACTCTCATGAGGAGTGGCTGAAGTCACTTGGTTTGCTCAGCCTGAGGAAGAGGAGGCTGAGGGGAGAACTCATTACACCCAACCATCCTTCCAAGGGAGCTCAGGGGCTGGCACTGAGCTATTCACTCTCATGGCCAGGGACATGAAGAAACCGCATGAAACTGAGTCAGGGGAGGTTTAAGTTGGAGGTTAGGGAAATATTCCTCCCCCAGAGGGTGCTGGCACTGCCCAGGCTGCCCAGGCAATGGGCACGGCCCCGAGGCTGCCACAGCTCCAGGGATGCCCAGGCTGGGCTTGCTGGGGGCTCTGGGCAGGGTTTGGCTTTGGGATTGATCATCCCTGT